GGAACATACTCCGTGTTGACCCAAGCACCGACCTATTTCCAGGTCATTTGGAATTTAACCATGATGACATTGTAGAGAGCACATCACATGGCTTGCCATATCCAATCAGGTTCTAGAAACTACTTATTTAATTTTGGAGCTGTGTTTGTACAGAATTGTAAAAAAAATTTCTTATCTACTGAATTTAGTGAGATGTATTTGAAGGTGTCTCTTACTTATTTGTGCTTCACTTATTGGCCATAAAGTATAGGAGTTATATAATATGGTGAAATTGGTAGCTAATCTAAAAAAAATGACCTACAATCCTTGATACTTGTGTGTATACAGATTGCAGAAAAAAGAAGAAAAACACTTACAAGCTTTGCTGTTAGAAAATCACCTTGTAGGCATCCTCCACACAAAATGGGGTAATCCTCACAAGTTCAATGATACCACAGAAATATATTGTCTTCTCTTTTACATTTTTGCAGTATATTCTTAAGAATTAAATATTAAATTTACTGAACATTAACTTTCTATGACATTAACTTTCTGTCATAAAGTTCTTAATAAATGACATCTTTCATTGATTCCCACAGAGCAAAAGCTACATTTTATTCTGTATTTGCAAAAGACAGTAAAATTAAAATTCTCCATCCTTTTTAAAATACCTATTAGAAAGAAAAACACAAATTATCATAAAAATTAATTTTTATAATCAATATATTCATTATGGAGAACAATATCATAGAGAAAAATATTAAATTAACTTTGTGATAAAATTCTTAATAATGAAACTTTTTTTATAAATTTCACACCAAAAAAGTTTTTTTTTACAATAAAGATAAAATTAAAATACTACAAGTTCAAAGAAAGTAAAATAAATGAACCTGATATTTACTTGTGTGACTTAAATAAATAAACTTTAGTGAATCTGAAAGCAAAAGATAAAGCTTTCTTTTTAAAAAGACTAAATTGCTTAAACCATTTCCAGTAACAAACTTTTGCTATCAAGTTACTCCAAGTCAAGAGAAAGCACTGTCAGTTTTCCAGGCCTCTCTCTGCATTCACCTTGAATGACCCATATATTTCTAGCTATTTACCTTGTTCGGACTGTTGTCGTCATTTTTGTTGCTATATTCACGATGTTTCAGCCATTGTACACTCCGGCCTTCTTCAGTTGATTGACATTTGAAACTTAACCCTTTATTTCAGTACATTGTTCTAGTTCCACATGCAAATTATACATCATCTCAGAAATATAGACAGATATTTCTAGCTATTAATCCAATAGAAAAGTGTTATGTATCATGTTACTCGATAGCATTTAAGCTAGCTCCTGTGGGGTGATCTTGATTGGGCCTTTGGCTTGTTCAGGAGTTTGAAAGTGCCTAAGTCTTTGCATATTTTTAGTATTGGAAGCTCTCCTGGCTGCTGTTTGATCTGGGTTTTCATTTGCATAGAACTATCTTTTCTTTGCTGCAGCCTTGGCACTTTTGATTGCAATCTGGTCCTCTGTTGGCAGAGATTTCTTAATGCAAGGTATACTGCTGTCGTGTGTGATAGGCAACAATAAAATACAGAAGAACTCAAAATTGATTGCTGCATTAATATTTAAGCTTACTTTTTAAAAGTTCAATGATAAGTCTTCTGCCGCCACTTAATTTAAAGACAATTTGATGTTTGTAGGTCCTTACTTTCCTTACAAACAATTATTTTTATTTCACAGATGACTTTTGCTGGATTTCACAATTAATTTTGATTATTCCCAAATTTATTTCCAAGTTATAAAAACTGTTAGTGTACAAATAAATTCATTGCAAAAAATCACATTAAAAATTGCCAAAAAACAATCACAGTAATGAAAATTTGAGAATCCAAAATTTCTGTAACATGTGCTATTGAAAGTTAGAGAATTGTGTCCCTTTAATTGAAAAGGCGTGACACTGACACACTGACATTCATATTTATTATACAGAAGAAACGAGCTGTTGAAAGTTAGAAAGTTGTGTCTCTTTAATTGAAAAAGTGTGACACACTGACATTCACATTTATTATATAGATTAACATTTTTGTTACAATTAGCTTGTATACAGAATAAAACCTATTCTTTCCCTGATAAAGCAAGTTATTATCTATATTTCTAATAAGGATAGATATTAAGTTGAAACTCACATGCTATATTGATTGATCATATCAATATATCCTGAAAATAGTATCATTATTAGTTAATAACAATGACTTGCATAATAAAATCTCACATAATGTATTAATTCATTTATCATACAGATGATATTATTTGAAGTGGATTAAACAGAGGGAATTTACAATACTTAGTAGAGGACAGTTCAGTACAGGGCTGACTTAGCTTGACCATTATAAGTTAACCATTCTTATCCTTAGAAAAAGAAAACAGACATCCCCAAGTGACACTGAGAACTTAGTTTCCCTGCAGTCACCATATAAAAAAAGAATAAACAGTTTATAGTATAAACCTAACTTTTGTGGCTTCTTTAATTGTTTACAAACACCTACAAGACATCAACACGTAACTTTAAATTCCATAAACAATTTCTTTTCTTGTTTACAAACTTTTATGAACTGTTTCAATGGTTAAGTTTCAATTAAATGTGTAATTTTTAAGGCCTGTTTGAAGTGTATAAATTCTTTTATTGTTCTCTCTCTTTAATAGTATGTTTTTTTCTCATATTTTCTAACACTCAATAACCAGTGGCTTTATTGACTTACTTAGGGGGATTTTTTTTTTTTTTAAATTAGGAAGTGCTTCTTACATTTATCTTCTCTACAGATAGCAGATATTGTAGTGGACCGTGGCAGTGATGAGTAGAAGTAGAAGAACACATGTGGGTAGAATTTCCTGCTAGCCGGTCCAACTACATGAGAAAGTTGGACTTTAAGTCCAAAGAAAATAAACAAGACTGATAAATATATGTAAACAAATATATGTATTAATACCAAGTTAAAGGTTACAAGTTACATGGACAGAGTGCATGTGGTGAATATTATGTGTGTATGTCTTGTGTTGTGGTGAGTGTTCGTATGTGTATTGTTCTTAGCGTGTTCCCAGAATTTGGGAACACGCTGTATCTGCGAGAGCTCACATCTGCAAGGTAGTATAAGGCAGAAGGCCTGAGGAAAAATGAGATTGAGGCGAAGGGTCAGCCAGTATTTATAGCCAGGGGAGAAAGACCCCTGGTGAAGGGTTAAGGAGCTGAGGAGGAGCTAACTCCGACAATATCTTCTCTTATGTTTGTTGAGTTCAATTCATGATTTAATTTTTCCTGACATCATTTAGACATTTTTTTTTTAACTAAGTATGAAATATTTTCAAACTAAATCTTTTATTTTAAAAAAAGTAGGGAAATTAAGAATTCCTAAATCAGTTTTTGTCTTAAAAATATTCAGCTGATATTTATCTGAAATGTAAGTGAGCTTTAGCAATTCTCGTTTTGACATTTTAACAAAAAGATAAACACTTTTTTATGCATCAACATTTTTTATTAAAAAAAAAATTACTTTCTATTTTAAATACTAAATTGACCCTTATCTAGAAAGAAGTTAGCTGCTAGAATCAATTATTAATAAATTAGTCTTTTAAGGACCCTATTCATAAAAGGGCCTGGTGGCTACTGTGATTGGAGACTTGCTAATCACAAAGATCAATATTATTTATTTTGATATTACTTACCAACGGAAGTTTCAAATGAGTCTTTCATTTGTGTAGTACACTACAGTATTTCTATCATTTTTATCTTAATTTTAAAATGAGTTCCCGTAGAAAATTACTAAAAAATATGAAGATTACTGCTTTCATATTTAATTTAAAACACCTGAAAAAAATCATAAGTTTTACTTATTTATGTTTAAAAAAAAAAAAAAAAAATACTTATCCAACATTTTTGTTTAGTTTATGTAATTAATTTTCCTTTTTTAAAGTAAATATGAAAGAACAGATGGTTTTTTTTACATTTATTTTTAGCCCAGGTATTTCGACTGGTCATAAAAACGCAGAAAACAAAGAACATCACTGGTTTGAAAAAAATATACTATTTCTTTTAGTTTTAATGGTGAATTATTTTTTTTAAACATCATTCAATAATTGTTTTTTTCCTAAAAAGAACTTCCTAATTCACTAAATTCAGCAGTACAATTATCTCTACGACTACTAATAGTAGCAGTGGCTGTGAATCATAAACAGTGGAAAAGGGTATATAACCAACTTTTTCATGTTTGTTTATAAACTCCACCATTCGGTTTTTAATTTTCCTTTTAGTTTTAAAAAGTTTCATTGCGTATGAAAAATACGATGACAATTTCCTGCAGTAAACAAAGAAAAAAGAAACACCTTTCAATGTGAAATGTAAAATATTTACAAAATATTTTATTTTAAATTGAGTTATATACGTTGATTCTCACAAATATTGCAGCAGTTTGAAATTCGGCACTAATATTTAAGAAATCGAGCGGGAAATTATTGCTTTTTTGTTGTTAATAATAACCTTCAACGTGACACCAGACGTTTGACCTCCCATCTGCTATTTCTTTCCACATACGTCATACGCTGGTTCCGGAAGATAACATGGATATTTTCGATTTAGACTAGATTTTCGATTATTTATTAATCAAACGATTCCTCATTGCTTATAAAATTGTATAAATCACCGGTGATAATAAGACAGTTGTTCACGTTGTTGAGTTTTAACTTAACGGAAACTACCGAATAGAATCGGACATAAGCGATTAAACAGCTTTCTCCATAATAGTCTCTAAACTCACTCTCCTCCTCCTCTTGAATTATCATAATCTATTTTGCTAGCTTCAAGGGGAGAAAATCTCGTTCCCGATATTTTTTGCAAATTAAAATAAGTCTAAATAAAATAAATCAAATTGAAATATACTTGGTTTTTTCTTATCTCAACTTTTTTTTATATCAAAACTTCAGCATAACTTAAAAAAGTGCATTTATTAAAAAAAAAAAAATTATGTGACGCTCGTTGGACATGTGCAAAGAGAACGAGAGTACCCGGATGCTCATGAACATTTCTGATGTAAATTTACTTGTTCTTTACAGTGGCAGAGGTATACTTTTTATAAAAGTAATACTTTCAAGCTGTGGGTGAGTGCTATCTCTCTTTCTATGTGTGTATTTATATATATTTTTTTTAAATTGCGAATGCATTTTTGATTGCTTTTGTAGTTTTAAAAATGTGTGTTTTATAGCGTGAGTGTTTGAAAAGAATGCTTTCAGTTATCTCGATTACGCGAGTGTTAGGTTAGTCGAGATGATGGCGGCGGCTTTATGGCACTACTAAAAGATACTAGACTTCATTCTCCTACAGATTTGTATTTTTTTGTTCCTGTTTACTTGTGCTGGTGGATTCTTTTTTTAAATTCAGTGTTTTTTAGATAATTCTTATTTCATGATCAAAAATAATTTTATTTTTAACTTGTAAGAAAATATCCGTAAAAAAACATTAAATGACGAACTTGCAATCTCGCTGTAAAGTGGGGGATCGTTTTCTACTCGATTTAAGTAACTAAATGATCCCTGACTTTATGATCATTTTACTTGCGTTTTTTTTCTTTCACCGAAAGACGCCATCTAACACAACTACAACGACCTTTTAATGAGTCAAATAATTCCTTAAATTTTGGAGATTGTGCACGCTTCAGATGTTTCACTTTACTCGTTTGAGTTTATAAAATGCATACGCACATGCAGATTTAGTGTGTAGATTGTTTCCAAAATTTTATCTAAGCCGTTATGAATTTATCAAAGTCGGCGCGCGCGTGGCTATTGCGAATCTAAAAAAAATCCGTTATCTTTAATTTTCTTAAGATAATTGTGCTAATATTTCTATTATATACCAGTATGTTTTAGCTTGTAAAATAAAGAGAAGCTTTTTGATAAATAGCCACTTTCAAGTTTCCATTGTAGTGTATGAAATATTTCCTGAATTAATCTGTTAGATAGAATAAAGCTTTGTCAATTTTAAAAAACTTAACCTGTTTGCAGTTTGCTTTATTTTATTGAACGATGTCTGGCAAAACATGCTAGTGGTATTAATTAGATGAAGCTTTCTCGTCAACCTATGAGTCTCATCAGCTACTACTATTTCTCTTTCTTTTCCCACCCACAACTTAGAATATTGCAGTTGATTTTTTTCCAATTCTAAAATGCACTTTTGAAGAATGATACAATCGTTGACAGTTTATAAAACGCAAGTTAAAGTGTTCGATTTCCTAATTATGGATATTTGAAATAAGACAGGAATGAATACCGAACAGACTCAAGATTTGAACTCGTTCAACTGTTTTAAACGTGTAAAAGGATCAGCATGTTAGAAAAATAATTCTCGTTCATACTCGCTAAATTTTCTGCTATAGATTCAAATTGTTAAATTCATTTTCCCCATAAAAAAAAAAAAAAAAAACCTGGGAAATCTTAAAACGAACGGGATTATAATCGTTGAAATTGCAATCAAGTCACTTTATTAAATTATTTAGAATACATGATTGTCTGACCTCCATGATTAGTAAATGATGAAAGTTGAAAAAATGCTGAACAAGTTATGACGTTTTGAAAGTTTCGATTTTAGTGTTTTTGTAGGAAAGTATATCTGTAATGACTATCTCAAGTGATTTTAAAATTTTCATTTTTGAGAAAAATTAAGTTTTAAAGTGGAAACTGTTAAAGTGTTAATCAGCTGTCTAAAGTCGATCCGATTGCCTGAACAACACTCAAACTAAAATAGACCCTTATTTTGTGTGCGTTTATATTATAAGATTGATTGAAGTTACTTGCAGTTAATTCCACATTTTTAAATCCTTTTTTAATGTGTATCTTTGCAAGAAGATGTTTTAAATGAAAAGTTGAATTCGTCAATAAAAGGACGCAAAAAAAATCCTAGATCCCCCCCCCCAATATTCTGAAGAAATTAGTTACTGGAATACGTCAAATCAAAACATTTACAAAAATATACTAATTTATCACTGCTTCATTTGTAATGATCAGTGCTAAAAGAACAGTTGTTAAAAATATTGCTACTGACCTTTTAAATCGCGTGCATATTCACACTCTCGAGCAATATGAAATTCTCCACGTGTCATTTTATAATAAAAAAATTAAAACTACCCGTTTTTTAAATTTGAGAGAAAAAATAATGCATTGAATGATTTCTTTTCATTATTAGTCATGAAATGGTTTAAATTTATCAAGTGAAAAAGTTTTGTTTTTTAACTAAAAACTGTTGAATAACTTAAATAATAATTTTTTTAAGTTATTGTTAAATATTAGTGACACAAACCGTAACGCTGTTTTTGAATTAGACTGTACCATAAAACCTTGTTCTATCATTTATCGACAGTCATGAAAATGGTTATCTAACCTATCAACATGTCTTCCATTTTTTACGTCGTAGTTTTTAAACATGATGAAATTTGAGTATACTTGCTTTATTCTTGTATAATTGATAAGTAATAATCTTGATTTTTTTTTAATCCTCGTTTGAGTACGTACTTTTTTAAACCTGTTTCAAAATTTTAACTTCCTCTTTCTATACAAAATAAGAAGGCTGAGTAGAAGTGTTGTTAGTCACACCTTTGAACATGTTCTTAATTTTATTAATAATTTGCTTGTTTTTAATTATTGATATCAAGAATGAAAATATACCATGAATTAGTTAGATTTTTAAAATTCAACATTTTTCACATATTCAGTCAACATTGTTTATGTTTGGCTACCGTTAGTACTGTTGTGAATTACGTAATTTTTGTGACCTCTTTATGAGCATATTCATATTAGACATGAAATCTAAAAAAAAAAAACACTCTTTAAATATAATTTTGTTGGATTATCGTTAGATTTTATTGCTTTCTTTTATTTTATTTAATTATTTACTTTTTTTTTCATTATTCATAAATGAAATAGTCGATTCTCTTTTTCACTTAATCGCTGTTTGCGGTATTCGTATTATCACGTAATTCCTTAGAAACAGCTTCAAAGTTAGGAAATTGTAGCATCGTTTTTGCAGTGAAAAATATTGATTTAGAAATTCTTGCAAAAATCAGATGATTGTCGGATAATAAAAATTTCCAGGTGATCTACGAGTGACAAGCGATAGTGCATAATCACCGCTACCATTTGTTTTCAAAATCCATTTCTCTGTTGTTTTAAACAGAAATTATATAATATTGTTTTCAAATCAGATAAATTATACTTAAAATCAGCTAATATTCCTCGAATAAAGTTTCAGAAAAGTATATTTTATTCTTGGAAGATTTTTAAAACTGAGAATTAACTTTTGTTTACAAACGTGTCAAAAATGGCTAATTTTATGAAAGCGAGCAAAAAGTGATTCCAATCGATACAATTTCTATTTGAAATACACTAGAGTATTTTGCTTGCTGGAAATAGTAAATTTAATCATTTAGCTTTCAATTAAAGCTAAAATGAAATCTTCATTTTTCATTTTAAACCTCAGGTATCGAAAATTCAGTGGGGGTACCTATCTGGTGTATTTCAAAGTGTTGGTGTAATGGCTGATCATGGATTTTATTTGTAAAACATAATTGAAGAAAATGGAATAAGTGTCTTCATATATTTTTTAAGTACTCAGTAATTTTAAAATTTAAAATATTCTTCGTAAGCCAATGTTTTATTTAGGTACCTCTAAAAATTTTCTAAAACAAGCATACTATGAGGGGAAAAAGGCCCCAACCATGATAAAAACTAAGTTTTGTTATTAAGAGGAAAGACCAAAGTATTTTTTTTTTTTTTTTTTTTTAATCCTTTCTAGCATGTTCAAAATTTTGGTTAAAGATCTTGTTTTTATTAAATTAGTATAGGTATTTTTAGCGTCTCTTTCTGGTATTAAAAATATATTGTTTTGAAATTCTTGAACAAATCAAATGATTGTCAGATTTTAATGAAACTTTCAAAACATTCACAAATGAATGTGTGTGTTTTATTATTATTAGTTAAAAGCTGGACTCTTTAAATCATCAACACTTAGAGGTGACAGTCTTTTTCATGCTAGGCGCAATCATGACCTGACAATTGCATCTAGCATGAAACAGACTCACCTCTAAGTGTTGACTTCTATGTTCACTTTTATATTTACACAGACTCTATCTCTGATATTGAGCACTTTATCCCATAAATATAGTACATCTTAAGACTATATTTCTTTTTATATATATATAAATTAATACCATTTACTGAAAATCTGATTTGGTTTGTAAAATGAAAAATGCAATAAAACTGTGACATTATTTAATTAGAAAAGTTTTTAATTGCTTTTATAAATAAGATATATTAAGGACACTTATCTTAAGAAAAAAAAAATCTTCCAAAAGTAAAATATACTTTTCTGAGGCTTTATTTGAGGAATATTAGCTGATTTAATGTATACTCAATCTGATTTGAAGGAAATATTATTTACTTTAATTTTAAAATATTGCAGAAATCCATTTTTTAACCCAACAGTAGCTGTTTAAGGTGATGACAGATTGTGAACTTTATTTGTAAAACATAATTGAAGAAAATGACATAAGTGTGTGTGTATATATATATATATATATATATATATATATATATAATTTTGAAGTACTCAGTATTCTTTAAAATTTAGGAAAATATTTTCTGATAATGTACGGGCAACATTTCATGTTTAAACAATGAGTTTATACATGTGCAAAAAGAATTCAAAATTCTTTTAAGATATTGGTGTTTGATTTGTACTAAGCTTTTCCATTTAAAAGAAATAATAACAATTCTTGTAAACAAAATTTGTTATTCATCAGAAAAAAAATATTTTTCTTACATCAATAGTGGCTTTTAATATATCTTATTTATAAACACCAATTAAAGCTTTTCTAATTAAATAATGTCATAGTTTTATTTCATTTTTTTTATTTTCTGATTCAGAGCAGATTTTGTTAACTGGATGTCCTGTTTGACAAAAACAAATTGATGGTTTAAAATCTCCAAGAAGTCCAGATTTTAACTAATATAAATATGAAGAAGTTTGAATTTCAAATTCAAATTTCATAAAATTAGAGTAACAGATGTTTAAAAAAAATATATATTCTTACCAAGATTTTTTTTTTTTAAATATAAAATCTGACATTTATTTGATTTGTACCAGAATTTCCAAAACAATGTTTCTTACCACAAAAAGATAAATTTCCCATAGTAATTTTTGGCCTACCTGCTGACACAAAAGGAAAGCAAAATTTTTAACCAAAATTTCAAACGTGCTAGAAAGGATTAAAAAAAATTTAATGATAAAAAAAAATTCTTTGGTGTTTCCTTTTAATAAAGTTTTGTTTTTTATCAAGTTTGGGACCTTTTTTTCATCATTGTGTTGTTTATTTGTTTGTTTGTTTTTTATTATTATTATTATTATTATTGAATTTTTGGAGTTTATTACTGTAAACTTTATTTACAGTTGGCAGGTAAAAGAAAATGTCTTTATCAAATGAAAGCCATTGACAGAAACAAAACAAAACTTTATAATCATGCAGGTCTAAATCCTCATTGTATCTGTGATATAAAGATACTTACAATTTGTATCAAATATCAGCTTTTATTTGTGAACCTTTTGGATTAGGCTCTTAAAAAAATGTGTATAATCATGTAACTGCTGTGTTTTTAAAATGGTTTGTGATTGGAGTAGTGTTGTAACTATTATATATATAATCAATTACTATAAATAAGAATTCTTCAGTTTATTTTTGTTCACTACTTTGAAACAGCTAAATTTTTTTATATTTTTTTTTTATAGTTAAAAAGTTCATGTAACAAAGGGATTTTATTTTTCCATAAAACTAATTCATTATAAGGTTTATGTCTCCCTCAGCAGATTTAAATTTCTCTTGTGAAATGTATTTTATCAAATTTTAATGCTGACTAAAATTAGTGTCATAGATTTAATTCGCTCTGACACTAGACCAAATAAAAAGATACCAGTATAATTTGGAATAATAAATTGGGATTTACTATAATTTTACATGACTTTAGTGTAATGTTCTAAGAATTCTATATGAGTTTACTTAAACTTTACTGTTTACTTACTTTACTGTTTTAGATTAAAAGTAACTGATCATGTATGTAATTATACCATAATCTCACTATTAAGCTACACTATGGTAGCCTATAAATTGTTGATAATTTTATGCTAGTGTAGTTTAAGGAAATTAATGGCGTGATTGACTTGATAACTCAAAATAACCTTGGTGTAAGCTTCATCAGTGATATTTATCCCTGGTGTCATTGGGAGATTTTATTTCAAAATGAAATGAGTTGGTGTCAAAAGTGGCATTTAATTTTCTGAAAACTAACAAAAACTGTCTTGTAAAATAGTTATCTCACTAATTTTAGTTGTATTGATTCCTGATTTGAACGTAGGTAATTTCCTTTCTCTTTCAGACTTTCTTGTATTTTCAAAATTATCATATTTTGTTGCACTTAACAAAATAAAACTTGTATTATTTATTTAAAAAAATGTTTCCACTAAAAGCTGCTCAAATATTTTTTGTGTGTGTGGCTTTTATAAAATGCTTATGCTTTTATAAAAGTATTCTTGTGTAAAATGTTATTGTGTTTAGTACTACTGTATAATTTGACAGGTAATGTGCATGATGTACTTCCTTTTTGTTCATTTTCTTTAACCACTGTTTAAAATTTATCAGTTTTGATAAATTACTTAATTTATCTGAATCTTAAGTCATTCAAATAATAATGTATAAATATTTTAATACTTTGGCTTTAAATAGGTTTTTCATGGATCACTTGCTATTTTGTCTATAATATTATGAAGTGCATTCCAAAAGTTTTAAGACATTTATTAATTTCAAAGAAGTACAAAACTCTAATCTCCTTCAAAGTAAGATCTGATTTCAATGTACTTGTAGCACTCCAACCACTTCATGAAGGCTCTATGTAAGTCATTCATAGTGTTCAGGGCCCTTGTCACAGCTTCCTTCATCTTAAAGTTTTCAAAACTGCTCCTGAAGATCCCCTTCAGCTTAGGGTCACAGGGGAGAAAGGTCTGGACGTGAGGGAGTTTTTTTTGATGCTGATCTTTCTGAATACAAAACTTTATTGCATTAATTTGTCTTTATGCCCAGACAACGTTCTGTAAAGCTAATCAGCTGTGACAAACAGTGTTTAGTAGGGTGTGTTCAAAGAGCTGTTACAGCCAGATCCCTCAATCTGGAATAACAAAAGTCAGCAGTTCAGCTTTTTTGATGTATAGTAATGATATATTACAAAATCTAAAACAGTTATAATTGTCTCTCCTAAAGTCTCAAAACTTCTAAAATGCACCTTGTATATATAAATTGATAGTGCGTTGCAATACTTAGTTGCTTCTAAGAAAATTGTGACAAAAACAATATACTATGTAGTTAAAGAAACAATTTCTTGTATGGTTTATTTGACTTTAATAACTCAAATCTCATTAATATCAATTGAAGTATGAAATTAGCTTTAATTTATTAGTACAAATATTTTGAAAACTTTGACTTTCAAATAATTTACTAGATAGCAAAATCTTGTGAAACATAAGTTTTTATTTTTGAAAAATGATAACCTTATACTTTTGATAGTATATTATAGGATTCTGATTACGTTCAAATGTAACTTGCTAAGTTAGAGCTAGTAACACAAAAATGAAACCTATCAGTATTTTTGTGTTTATTAAGCTTATTTTATTTTTGTTTTCAGCCTATAGTAAAGATGGCACAGTTTATCTATCCACTACCAAATGCACAAACAGCAACGGCATATCCAGCTGCCCAAACTGCTTATGTTGCTGCTGCTCCTCAAGCCGCTTATGCTACAGCTGCACCAAGAGCAGGACAGTCAGCTTATGATAGCTACCAGACCGCTCATGCTGCACCTCAATATGCATATACCACACGTACCCAAGTTGCTGTCACTGTAAGTATATTTTCCCTTTCCTAATATTATATTTGCTTCAAACTGAGTGGAGCTCCATGCAGTGCTTTGCAGAATGTTTCCTGTTTTAACTGTAGGTTTGATTCAGTAGAATCAAAGTTATTTCTAAGATTTTGACATTTATAATTAATTAATTTAAATGCAAAAGTAATTAAGTGATTTTCAACAATCACTTGAAATAATCAGAATATCTTGATCAAAAGAATTTCAGTATCTGTCTATATTTCTGAGATGAGGCATTTTGTGCACTATTTACATTGTTTGGACGATCATCCTCATCTTTGTTGCCATATTATCACAACGTTGTGAACGTTGTACGTTCCAGCCTTCTTCAGGTGGTTGGAATGTTGAACTGAATCCTTTATTTCGCTCACTGGAGTAGACTGTTCTAGTTCCACATCCATGTCTAATGGATGTCCTGTTAATTCCCCTCTCCAAGTTCTCCACCAACAACCAGGTACTGAACTCACACTCTTTGGGTCCTGTCACTGGATCTAACTAATGCCTTTATCCACTGTGCCATGTGTCCTTGAAGACAGGACCCAAAGAGCAAGAGTTCAATACCTGGTTAAGTTGGTGGAGAACTTGGAGAGGGGAATTAACAGGAGATAACTGATAACTGACATCCATTAGACATGGCATGTGAAACTAGAGCAGTCTACCCCAGCAAGCGAAATAAAGGGTTCAGTTCAACATTTCAACTAACTGATGAAGGCCGGAGTGTACAACGGCCGAAACATGATAAATATGGCAACAAAGATGAGGATGTAAATAGTAATTTTTAATTTGTAATTGATTGCAGCAAAGTATTTTCATACAACAAAGCCACTTTGAGATATTATGCAACAAAAGGGGCTAAAATCATAAATTCAAATGGCAAATAAAGTAAACAATTTTTTTCTCTACATGGTACCTGTAGACATTATTCTTGAGTTTGTTTTGTCATCTCTTATTTAATCTCCCAAAAGTTAATATCTAGATATTAGCTGCATGCTATTTTTGAATTTTCTAATTACCTGTGTGTAGCTGAAGCATTTTGAAGAATCACTTATAAGTATTTGCAACATTTGGGGCATAAAGAGGTCCTATTTGAAGTTGGCATATGTGAACATATTGATACACAAAATTGAGTAGTATCCAGTATGAAAGTGCATATGAGGTAGAGATGTATCATTGAATTCTTGCATGTTGGGTTTAGGGTTGTACTCCTTAACATTCATCAATGTTTGCTGAACATGTTCACAGATCGAACAATAGTTGTGAGTGCAGGCAGTGGGTAATATATTTCAATAGAGGTGACAGTGGTGTGTATGTGTGAAAATTGTGTTGTTTCAAAAACTAATGTGCTAGGGTAATTCTATGTATAGGTTCTGAATTGGCACATTTTATTTAGTGAGATATCATTTCACTGATTAGTAGACAAAAATGTTATTGTCTGATGAAATTAATTTAAAACAAGGTTTCCCTAATTATACATACAAGACAAAATCCTGAATGAAAATATGCAAATTCTGAATTGGCATAATTTAGGCTAATTTTAATCTATTCTTGTTGCCTAGTGCAATCTTTAAAGGTTTACTGTACTAATTTGTAATAAAAAGAACTCATTTATTATTAAACATATTTTTTTTTCTAATTTACAACTATCATTTGCTTTTATCACTTAAAATTTATTAACCAAAGAAACATTGCTATTTTTCCCTTCCATTGCTGCTGTACCTCCCTTCTTTTTTTTAAGTAATATAAGAAATTTTACTATTGTACACAGTGCAATTTCCTGTTAGAATTTAAACAAAGAATTCTCATGATTCTTTATTTGGAAATTTTAAGAAAAAATCCAATGAACTTTAGTAATACCTCATTATTTTAACAGCTTTGTTTTTTGATCATTCATTTACCATATTAAAGTTAATTTTATTTTTATAAGATTATGGAAGTTCAATACATTTTCATGGATTTGCTATATCTATTGGCGCATAATGACTTTTGAGAAATTTTGTAATGCTGACCTTTAAATTTGTGAGATTAAAGAGACTTTGTAGTCTAATAAAATATGTAGATAATTGCATGTAATTCAATTTAGTTTGATTGGTGAATGAATTTTCAATACTTTTAGATAGGTACCTCCACGAAATTGCAAAAAAATAGAGCATAGTCTGATGAAAAAGACGCCAAAATTTACGAAAACAAAATTTTATCGTCAAAATGCTTATGTTTTTATGAAGAGGATAGACCAAATTTTTTTTTAATTATTTTCAAAATTTTTCCATCTTTTTAGAATATTCTAAATTTTGATTTAAAAACCTTGTTTATCTTTTTTTTTTTGCAAAAAGGGATACTAAATAACATAGATAATTTTAGCGTTTTTTTGGTATTTATACCTATTAATTTGGAAAATCTTGTAAAAATAAAAATAATTGTCAGATGTTAATGAAACTTTCAGAAAATATTCACAGATGATCGAAATTATTATGAATATGTTTTTTTTTTATTAAAGTCATGGCAGAAATTTTTTTTTTTTATTTTTATTAACACCCCCATATCTAATTTTATGAAAAACTCAAAAAATTCCATACCATCGGTTTTTAGTGATTACAATATTTAAAGCACAAGGCTTTGAAGAATGTAAATCATGTTTTGTTTTTTTTTTTTAATGAACCCATTACCTGAAAATCAGCTCTGAATTGTAACATACAAAAAGTAACAAAACTCAATAAAAACAAATATACTATTTAATTTCAAACGCTTTTTATTTGTTTTTATTTGTTCGTATGAATATGGACAATATTTTCTGAAAGCAAAAAAATTTTTTCAATGAAAATTGAATTTTTAATACAATTATTTGTTATTTCTTTAATTTTAAATCGAAATTTTAACACTTTTTTCATTAAATTTTTTAAAAATAAAAAATAAAATAAATAACAGCACCATCAACCTTTTTGTACTTCTCTTTCTTAGCTCGTCATTGTCTAGGGATTTGAAAATTGTATAATTTGGACCCATCCGATGATCCCCACTAATGAAAAAATGTAATTATGTTTTGATAAAAAGCGCTTAAATGGTTTGTCATTAAAAAGTACGGAAGGTCACGTGGCTTGAGTGTAAGCGTAGATTTCATTATTTATAGTATTTATTATCTCTAGTGTTACGTGTTGATAATTGTAACAAAGGAAAAAAAAATGATTTACCACAACACAGAGCTAAATCACAAACAAATATTTAATTTACTAAAACAGAACAAAACATATACAGGATAAACAATTGTAGCCTACAAAACAGAAAACACAGAGTTACATGAAGTGTTACGAGGGAGAAGGAAAAGGAGTCAAATCACTTTAGGGCTAGTGAAGTAATCTATGCTATATTTGGAAATCCACAAAGGTGTGTAAATAAATATTAATTTTTAGTTTGGTCAATGAAAATTAGTCAAAATTCTATTTACCAACTTTGTTCCATGAAATTCTCTTTTGGGTTTTGGTTGGTCGGCAACTTTTTTATAGAGATTCTTTCGCTGGATATATAGTCCTTGAATCAAAAGCCGGAGTTGATACTGACAGCATTGACAACCCTTTTCCAAAATCCCATTTTTTATAGGGGCTAACACCTAATTTGCATATTTCTAGATTTTTCTCGAATATACTAGAATGATCTAGAATCTTCCAAACATTCTATTTCTAATTTCTCTATTTTACAACTACTTCATGAGTGAAAACTTTTTTGTAATAACAAGTAGAACTCAAAGGAATCCCTTATTATAGAAATGCATCCTCGTAACAATAGATAGTATCAACAAAGTTATGTTTTAAGTTCCAGTAATAATAAAATAACAAAATTAAGGAAATTGAATGCTAATTTTTTTTTTTTATTATCTACTAATTACGGGTAGTACATAAGCTGATTCACACAAAAAACAAAAAAACGTTACGTCACGTATGACCATCTGTATGATAACGTGAATCTCACGTGAGCTGTCGATATGTGATGACAGGTATCACTTGTCACCGAGAAATGACAGCACAGTTCAGATCGCTTTTACTTTTTATTTTAACAATTTTTTTATTCGAAAAAAGTAAGTAAAAGCTTCTTTTCAAAATATTTTAACTAATCTTTAAATTTGCTAATTTTAGTCAAATAAATTTTGAAAAACGTAGAATTGATTTTTGGTATAATTATACCAAAAATAAACGAGGATTTTTAACTTGTTTACAAAATTAGAAAAAAATGGCTGATAGCTACTTTTTTTAAGTAATTTTGATGATAGAAATAAACAACATTTTTAAATAAAATTTTGGACCTGCTAAGAATGAGTAAAAAATTTTTTAAAATAATCAAAAAATACTTTGGTGTTTCTTCTTAAGAATGATATATATATTTAAGCCGATAAAAATTTATTACATCGTTTTTTTTTCATGCTATATGTTTTTTGTAGCAATTTCGTGGAGGTACCTACTTTTAGACATAAAGAATTCCAAAAAGAATTAGTTACTGAGGATCCATTCCTTATACATAATCTTACTATTTTACTAAGTAGGAAATGGGTGCATGATGTTTGTGGTAGATAGAATAACTTAATTTTTTTGATATCTATTTGCATTAAAAATATCTTGTGTATGATATTTTACCTGGATATGCAAAATATTAGGAATTACTATTGCTTACAGGAATCTAACATCTAGATTTAAAATTATCATACACCTAATCAAAGCTGAAAAAATGTATTGGCTGAAATGTGATAAAAGTAGCAAAAATTTGAGTACTAATATGAACTCAGAATTTGAGACAAGTGTGAAAAATTATACAATACTGCATTATAAATTCAATATTAAAAATCTTTTAAGACCATTGGATTGAAAATTTAAGAGATTAATGCTAAATTACATAGGGTAAATGTTTACAGCTCCTAATCAAACTACCAGATAATGAATGTTCTTTTATGTGCTGTGCTCTTCCAAAGCATGAGCAATCATGGTTCTCCATAACTT